GAAAATCCAACACGAGATAATTATTTAGAAGTTTTTATCTGTCTTATTTAAATGGTGCTGTATGACACCCATTGTAGGCAAGTCAACTACTAACTTTGGCAACCTCAGAGGGAGTGGAAATAATATTAAAACATTCTTATGTCTCTTTCTCTGCACCTACCACTTGATCTTTTGTAGATACATATAGTCCCTCTTTATTGGGCTTTGTCACAGAGAATTTGAATAGCTGTAAACAACGACATTATTCTCCAATATTATGAGACTTTCTCTTTGTGTTCTTTAACACCTGTTATTATAATGACACGTACAGTATGTGTGGAAAAAAGCACTTCTGAGCAGGAACAGGAAATGGCTTAAACAACTGGAAATATGCCTTTATAATGAATAAAGTCTGGGGCTGGCACGAATCTGCCCAATTACTCCCACAGTGACCTGAGATCCAGGTAATGAGCAAGGTGCTGCACCAGCTCATTATGGGCAATATGTTAAACCAATAGAAAGCATCAAAGCCAGGCCTTTAGAAATGGTGTAAAAGCTCCTCTAATCAAGCCTTCACAGACAAGCAGAACAATGACAACACTATTCTCTCCAGATGAAATCCTCCGTCGTGCCAGTGGAGCAGGGAAGGAGAGAGTTGGCATAATGCCCTCAGTGCGCTTTCTGAAAGGAGGCAACTCATGTGGTATTAACATAAGGTCTGTTACCTGAGATTGCTTTCTGACTGGTGTGAGCGGAATATGAAATACGCCTCGGATGGACACGAGGCCTTTCTATCCCCGTGTGGGCCATTCATTGCTTTCAAGCCTTGCTTTTATTCTTCCTTTTTTTCAGCACTCTTTTTCTCCATAAAAGGGTCTTTGATGCATTTAATTCCAGGTGCTTTAACCCTTGAAGGAGCTTCTCTGGAGGAGAACAGAGGTAAAGATCATGAACAAACCGGTGTGAGAAACTTAAAATAGCAACTTCACTTTGTCAGGAGATGTGGACTGGGCTGACTTACTGTAGCTGTACAAAAGAGGAAGCCATTAGAAAGACAATACATTCAGTGCATGAGCATGTGTGTAGACAGTCATTTCTTGAAAGATGTACACTGCTATTTCAAGAGAAGAGTCTAAAAAAAAAAAAACATAAGAAATGGAGCAATTATTTGTTTCATTTGTACTCACTTTTACACCATAAAACGTGTACTATTGCACACAGACAAATGTATCCACAGATTGTCATCACATCCACATAGACAAAGTTCTCATTGCCTTGCTATTAAACTACTTGTGAGGCAGTGAATGGTCAATGTTTCCTAACATCAACCCCCTGTGCACTTCCTGAAAGCCTGCCAGATGTTTTATGACCAGAAAGTGGTGTGTAAAAACTCCCTCTGCTGTTACAATGCAACAGCTGTAAGACAAGGCACAATATTAAGGAATTTAATGTTAAAATTGCCTTCAATAGACCTGAATGCAAGCAGGTTACCTTACATCAAGCACTAACATCCAGTGTGTGATCGCTTGTTCTTTGTAGTGATGTGTTTGACTGAAACGTATGACCAGTTACCGAAAAATAATCAGGTACTTAAAACACATCGTATGGTTTTGAAACAAAAAAACAAAAAGATACATTTAAACCACCAACTAAATTATTTTTGTTGATGTTGCAAAGCATCCATAACTTTTATTTAGCTGGCATTTCAAATTTGCATTAAAAGAATATTGATTACATAACCTAGATGGCCCAAATGTGTTTTCAGCCAAGCACACAATAATTTAAAAAAAGTATTCAGTTTTTACAATAAGTTATTTTGAAATAATTTGGTTTAATTTCTCCTATAATCAATATCCAAGCCCAGGGTTATTCCAGTATATTTCTTGTAGAGACATATTTGACAGACCTATAAAATAAAGTGTTACTATTACAAATCAACACTACTTTTCTGTCTCCTCTGGGTTGAGATATCCTCTCAATCTGTTACTTCAGGCAAATACGTTCTGCAAAAGCCAAGAATAATATACGCTTTGCACTTCATTACATTTACAGTGTGGAAAAAAATAGCCTGCATTCATAAAATGCTGCTATAAACTTTTTTTTTATTGGACAAAAGGGCAGAGAAGAGATTCCTGGACGTAGCAGGGAGCCTACTTTTACTGCAGGAAATATGGACTACTGGAGCGCGCTTCAGACGGAAACACATCGGGCAAATGCTTCTGGGATGAACAACGGAAAAAAAAAATGGGATGCTACAAAGTGGATCAATAGAGGACAACAAGTGCTGGAGTACTGGCTAGATAATAGCTCTAGCTCTCTGTCCTTGGTGCAAACAATGGTCGCTCTCCATTATGTGTCAAAGGGCTTCACCATGGTTACTGGTGATGGTGAAGATACAGGAGCAGCTTTTTCTCTTACTAGTAATGATGTGTTTGAAAATAATAGAGCTCAGACATTATATCACACATTAACTCATAAACCCAATTTTTATTTATTTTGAACCTTGATGCCTCTTGTCCCCATACATTACATTCAGTATATACATTTGGCCATGAGGGACTGTACAGAGATATGTTATAGTAGTGCATACATACGTGGCACGGACATGTACACAAAGGAAACTCATACATGCCACTTTAGCACAGTAAAGTGAAACACAAGATACACACGGGGCTGATGGTTGCTCACACACACTCACACTTCTTTATGCATGCACACAAGCACACTTTAAGACACTTCTGAGGGAGGAGAAGGGCTCTTTCAGGTTCTAATGATAGACATATGAGAAGAGTGGGTCTGCTGATTGCAGCAAATCCCCCCCCTGTCAGAACACCCTCCCCTCTGTCTCCCCTCCTTACATCCATTTCTCCATATAGCTAAGGCCTCTCTTTGGGGCAGTGCGGCTGTCACACACAGGCTCTTTCCTTTTAGTAGAGACATTTTCATCAGCAGCAGTAACTTAATAAGGAGCCTCTACTCTCAACCTTTGTTATCTTAAACAGGGAACACAGAGGATACATCACACATAGTTTATTTCATTTTCATTTCTTCTTAGGATATCTTTTATCAAGAAAATACAGAGGTCCACTTCAACAACATACCGTTCCTTAATAAAGCCGCAGAGGTTACTATCTGATGTCTGCTCACTTACTACACCAACTAAATAAACGTCTTTCTGCCGACTATTCTCTTTAACATATCAAACATTCTGCTGATAAATCTCTTCCCGGTGGACATCTTGTACCATCACATTTGTCATAAACATTTGGTGGAGGCACACACTCCAATACATTTCCCTTCAATGACAGCAGTTTAAAGTTGCATAGCACACAGCAGTGTCAATAAGTATTGACTTTGTATTTACAGTGGTCATGCTCGCTTAAGTCTGTTTCTTATTCATAGTGTCTTCACCAAAGCCCCCCGTCATTTTCATTGTAACTGGGATTTGCTCATTAAACCACAGAAATGTGCAACTCATAGGACTGAAAAGGGTTTCCTGTGTAGTGCTACAAACATTAGGCCCTCTGCTTAGACTGAACTTGTTGTTGTTATTAGTCAGAAGTAGTATTATTTCATCAGAGAGCAGCCCACATAACAGTCCTATGAGTTGCTTAAATATAAATGTGGTTGTAAAAGAATACAAGAGGCCATTCAAATAAAACGAGTCATTGGGCTGACTTCTAGTTTCTTGATTCCAATGAGGAAAAAATACGGTTCTGACAACCAAAGACTTCAAGAAAGGGCTGTTCCCAGTTTGTACCAGCAGGATTAAAAACACTGGAACTCAAAAAGTATGCGCACACATTCTCATATGCATACATAACATTTTTCATTTCATGTTGGACGGGTTGGACACATGTATACTCATCACATTCACACATGTATGCACATCTGGTAGTAAAGGGTAGATGATTGAGCCATTTTAATGCAAAGAAGAAGCATGAAAAGTTGAAGGTAGGCGTGTTTTTTTTCTGGTTCTAACAGGCTGCGCTGTGATTGGTCCGGAGGAGAATATGCGATCGTCTCTCATGTGAGGTTTGACAATCCCCTTGGTCAGGAGACACCATGACTTGTTTCCCAAAGTCAGGCCACTGAGGCAAACGTGCGTTGAGCAGAACTTGGAACAACAAAAATGCAAAGCACCACAGGTAAAGAGGCTGGAGTAGTCCCAAAAAACACGATCACATCGGCACAGAACAATGAGGGCCAAGGGGCCGACGGGCCATCACAAAGGAGTAACACATCAGTAATAATTACCCCAGAATAAATTACAGTCACAGAACAATCGTTAAAAGCAGAACTGGAAATCAGCTGATCTAGCGGACTGATTCGACCCATGCATTATAAGGCATTAACCAAACATCTGTTACTGACATCACACAGTTTCATATTAGTGACTACTATACATACAATTGCTGATCTGAAAAATCTACTTTAGTTTTTCATTAAAAAGAAATATTTTATTTAAAAAACATATCCATAAACTGATGATGTCATTTTAAGGGAATTGGGAATGTCATAGGGAGAGCAGATCGATGTCTGAAATCCCATTGTACCTATTGATCTGCAGATGGGCGAATGAAATTGATTTTCTGAGGTAGACAATGCAGGCATATTTCATTCTCCCGATGCAAAGCCATTCTAAGGAGGGGTCGCCGCACTAATTTGGTCCATTTGGACAGGCTCTGGTCTCTAGCCCCGGCCAATTGTACTGTGTCAGATGAGTTGACCCATCCATCATGATCTCCTGCCTGTCTCGCCACCATGGTACTTACACCGTCATTGGTGTGATACACCCCCTCGGTGATGGATAGCAGACAGCATGTACTATGACAAGATAGAGAGATCAGCGTGCACTGCTCACAGGCCTGTTATTTCCACACAGCTGGGGACACACTATTCATACAAGGCCAGTGTATTCAATATCCAGACCCTCAACAGGGACAATATCTCTGTTGAGGGATATTGTCCACATGAGCCTCATACAGCGGTATGAGGCTCATGTGGACAATATCCCTCAACAGGCCTCATAAATGTTGCTTCCCTTACACAGCTCTTACAATCTTCAAGTCCTCTTACAAACAATTACAGAATCAACAGAGCCTAACCAAATGAGCATACACTATTTTTATGATGTGCACTCCTAGGATAAAACATTTTCTGAGAAAAGGTACACCCCAGTGACACATGTTACAATGTTGTACCTCTCTTTTTCTATGAGTGATAAGTGCTTAGGGAAATCAGCTGAAGAATCAGTGAAATTATGTTCATCAGGTGGTCAGTCTGTGATGTGATGAAGTGGGTGTCCGTCATAAATAAAATAAAAATAATAAAGCCTTCTACCTCATTGAGTCTGTACAGCATGTGTAAGATAATATGCAGTAGGCCTTCAAAACAGGTCTGGAATCCGTCGGCTAGTGAGGTGAGTTAGAATCAGCAGTTTTGGGATGTCACTGTTCGAATTCCCATGAGCCTTCTGGGCACTGTCCAGAGGGACAGGAAGTGTGGAGCCACAGGGTTGCCCGGTGGGTACGGCAGGGGCCTGCCAGTGACCCGGAGCACTATAGTGTCCTGATGGCTACGGGGTACAGCAGGGACATGTGTTCGGCACCCTTGATGGGCAGCTTGCGGCTAGAGTAGAAATAGATGATCTCAGGCACGCTGTCAAACGGGCAGCTGTTCTGGCCCAGGATGTACTTGCTCTCCTTCGTCCGTGACAGCTTCATGTGCATGAAGCCCTGGCTGCTCCTGGGGACAGAAGAAAACAAAAAGGGAGGGACCGAAAATATTTATTTATTATATCAAAACAAGACGAAGAGACTGCTTTATACATTTATATTTCATTAAGTTACAGATTTCATCTTCAATCCGGCATGAAAACCAATTATTTGTGCAAACCAAGGAGGAATCAGACAGCTCTGAGACAGTTTGGAGAAAAATGCTAATATCAGCATCTTGTATATTAAAAAAGCGAGAACTGCAGCTTCAAAATACCCTGCGTTATGAAAAGCACTTTCCCCATAAACCAATATCAATGCCACTTATGTAAAACTTTTGACAGGACAAGTTCAATTTATTTGTTCTTACCTAAAACTTTCTCCAAGCCTAAAAAAAGCCATGTTCATGTGCGTGTGAGTTAATCAATTATGCAATGGGCCACACAACATGGAACGTTTGCTAGTTAGCACAAACTAAGCTAAAACTAATGGGAATGCCATCATTTTCCAGGTTTTCATAAACACACAATATATACATATTTATTGTAGGTGGTGCAGAACAAATAAAAGTAAAGGTATCACAAAACCATTCTTTGGAACCATGAATGTCTCAACAAATAATACTCTAATCCATCATGTAGACATTTGGACATAACTTTGACGAGCTACATGGAAAGTGAGGGGATTACAGAAGTCATAAGGATACATCCTCTAGGAAACATGGGCACACGTATGCAATCCATTTGATAGCTGATGAGATATTTCAGTCAGGACCAAAGTTGTGGCCCAACCGACCATCACTGCTGTGCCTGGAGCCATGTAGCATGGCTCAAACCCAATTTAGGGAGAGAGGTATGTCAGGAGCCTGAATATATGGGGACTCAGCAGATTGCCCTTCCTTGACAGCTCCTTCCTCATTTACTCCCAGAGTAGTCGCTCCCTACAGTACGTGACAATGTTCTGAAAGCTGGATTACCTCTGATAACTTTGGAGCTGTCATGGGAGAAGACTAAAAGCCAGGTTGCTTAAGGTGCTGGGTTTCACATGCAGAGCATAAAGAGAAAGCTAATGAACCCCCAGGATAAATCACTTAAGCTACAGCAATAAATGCACGGCAAATTAAAAGCTCCTTGTGGATTTCTCGGGGCCTTGGATCAATATATTTTACAGCTTGCCAGTAATCTCCTGCTTTAAAATAGAAAATTACTTTTTGGAATTAAGTAATGCAACAGTGGATCTAATTGTCCCTATATCCTGCTGTAAACATATTGTTCTGATGATCTGTCTTTACAGAAACACATTAGCAAAATAGCTTTTTCAATCAGAAGCTAATGCTTCCAGCAAGTTATGATTGCTGCAGGCTCAAATACTGTGGACTCACTCGCTGTGATTTGGCATTATAGCCAACAAAGTTTTTTTTCCCACACCACTTAACAACTTATTCTACTTCATATGTGTGACTTCCTTAATCTGAAATGTAACCCCTGTTGCTGAAATGCGAAATAAATGCCAAGAAGGAGGATAATTACACTAGAAGAAAGAGAGGAGAATGAAACCCCTCCTCTAAATCTTGCTGTGACATGCAGCCAAGAAAATCAGGTAGGCATGAGAGTTGCGGACGCATTGACTCATGGGACCATTTAGTGTTATCTGCACGACACATTCTGTATGTGTCAAGGACGGTGTGGAACAGGACTCTCGTGAAGACACTACTACTAATTATACTACTAATATAAGTGCATACAAGGTGGTAACTAGAAGAGATAATATACATTCTATCAACAAAACTAGGATGTGAGAATATCGTTCTGACAGACAGAATATGCACGTATCTCTGTTTGGATAAGATAAGGTGCAAACACGGTGGTCAAGAGTGTTGATGAGGTCCATCTCATGCCATGCTCCTCTCCTCCATGTGTATTTGTATCTGTTCCTGATCATCATGTGTTTTCATAAATAGTGAGCACATTACAAGTGTAAATAAACGCACGTATTTGTGAATGTGTCCATTATCTGGCATGAGCAGCAGCAAGAACTGGGCTTTAGGCGCCTTAAACGTAAGGAAGGTCCATTCTTACTTATCTCATAATTACATGTGTAAAGCCTGCTGATGTGTTCGCTCCCTGATGCACAGAGAGACGCCGGCACAGAGATAACGCTGAAGTGGAAAACAGCTCAGAATGTACAGGGTTCAATCCAGGGACATCCATCAGGAATACGAATACAGGCAAAGCGATAAATGGTGATTATGTCATCAGAGGAAACCAATCCTTTTCTTAATATAAGTGTGATAAATACTATTATTACAGAAAGCCAGATAAAGCTTTGATCTATCTGCTCTATGAGGTTTGAGTCGTAGGTATTGTTGATAGCAGATGAAGGAGATTTCATTTGAAATGCTCACATTATTTTTCATCGGCGAGCTGAAGAGGATAGCTGCAGGCTCGCTGGGCTGTAAAACTGAAGTAAACAAAACTATAAGACTTCTCCATTACCTTCATCGCTTTTGGCCTCGATATTTATTTGTATCATTAACAATTTAATTATGATTTGAGGAGAAGAGGACACATTTTACTCGCATCCTTCTTCCACTCTGCAAGTGGTGCCAGGAGGGATCATTTAAAAAAAATAAATAAAAAAATCCTTCATGGAAAGTGCATCCGATGAGTCTTCACTGTTGGAGCGCTGGGACACAGGTGTTCGGTTACATAGAGCCACACTTAAAAAGGCAAACACATCAATAGCATCATTTTTAGATTCCCAACTGATTTCCAGTCGGTGCTCATGGCCGCTTATCACGTTACAGTGCTGCAGAGACCGGGTCAATGGAGCCATAATGCTGTTGGTAACATAAATATGGGGTTATCTTTGAGAAAACAAGCCTTCGTGGTGTTGTCATATCCCGGTTTGTTTGTTGATTAATCTCACTGGGGTTTATGGGGGTTCATGACTTTGACTTGAACCCTGTCGCTCTGAGAGCAGGAACAGCCTGGCAGCACTCACAGCTTATCTCCTTCAACATATTGGATTGCTCTATGAATGATGCTCTCAGCGTTATGGTTCTGTGGAGAAAGTGCAAAGCCCTCTGCCAAAAGATAATGATCCTTGGCAGAAGTGATGACCTTTTTAGACATTACTGGTTATCCTGTTCGCCCATTATTTCATATGCGCACTAATTGAATGAGTCTACCTGGGAGGAGCCCAATAATGCAGTAAAATACAAATGATGTACAAAGGATTCATTTATTGGTGTTAAGCAGACTGAGAAGGTGAAGTAAGACAATCTGACATCATATCCGATCTGGTTAATGGAATATAGCATGATGAAAACATAGCTTTGATCGGCTAAATATGCAAAAAAACACACAATATTAACATTGTTTTGTGTTATATGCAGTTAGTTGTGTCGTCTGCTCCACATAAAGGAAATCTCTGACACCATAAAAGCATGACATATCCTGGGAAGAGGAGTCAAATCGAAGAAGCAAATGCGTTCTGGTTGTTCTTTCAAATGGGTATTTAGTTTCCGCTTGTCTGTGTTGTGGCATCAAACAGATTCTAAAGGATAGATGTTATTCTACCACTAACTGTTTCTCTCCTCAGCCAGTGGGAGCCTGCTGTGCAGAGCTCTCTCGCGAGCAGAGGAACAGGATGACACTGTGCTCTGACAGACTTGTAAAGGGTTTAATATGTTTCAAATACCTCTCTCTTTCTCTCAGCGGAGACAGAAGAAAAAAAGCAAAAAGGAGTGGAGGGGCAGAGGGAGAGGGAACAGAAGAAAGGGGTTAGAAGGGCAAAATGCTTTCCCTCAGGCCAGAGGACTCTGGGGGCCGCAGTTCTCTGCGACGGCTGTCTTTATCAATAATGCAATACACATGCGTGCCACCTCATGGCCTTATACATTTTCAGCAACCTCAGACATGGAGGATCTTCACCTTGGGTTTCCACTCATTTGCAGTGGCAACCTGGGAGACAGGCTTGTGTGAGAAAGCTGAACTCAGAGAAACCTTTGCCTGCAGTAAGGTGGCACTTGTCATTCCCACAAATTGGCCCGCTGTTATCCAGGCTGGATCTGATTGATGCCAAAGGCACACGATATGACATTCGGTGAGACTTACACAAATATACACGTCTACACACAGAAGCACAAAGCTTCAAGAAACATTCTATATTTAGGGTTTTGCGTACTTCTGCCTTTTGTGCTGATCAACGTTTCCAAAAATATCAAACTAGTGTTTGCCAGCAGATCACAGCTGAATACAATTATGGCCTCAAAAAGCTGTGGGTAAGGAACAGAAACATTAACACTAGCTAGGGTGTCAATAAGGTGTCATCCAACGCCTTGCTCTTGGTTTTTGAAAAGAGAAGCAGGCAATTGGTAAGTACATTTGATGAATTAATGCTCATGGAGAATATGGTGAATAAACATGTAACTAAATAGTCCATTGGTAAAACCAGGTATAAAACTGTGGGATGTGAATTAGTGTGGCGACATGAATGTTATTAAGGCCATTCCTAAAATAGAAGGTTAAAACATTACCACACACTAAATCTACTCATCTCATTGTACCTGTCTAATGACAATAAAGGATTATATTCTATTCTATCAAGTGAAACTTTTATTTGAGATAATACCTTGCTCTTATTACTTTCTGTGCCTTCTGGACTTTCTCCCTCAAAAACGTTTCATTTAATTAATCTAGCAATTCATTAGGATAGGTAAAGCCCGCAAGCTGGGTAATTTACTTCCTCATATAATGGAGGGACGGGGTGGATCATTTCTCTCTAGCTATACAAAAAAATAATGTCTTCATATGTTCATGCTGCTTTTATCAAATTCACTCCTTGTACTATCACTAACTTTACCAGCATAGGGATAGCAAACTGTTTCAAACTTCATTGGAAATACTGTATAAGTCTAGTCCACTAAGACTTTTATATCTGTTTTTTAGTGACCATTTTACCCTGAACAATATTGGTGTTAAATCTGTATTTTAACTATTTGTGTATGTAGCTTTGAACTATTACTTTTGGTCTTGGTTTGCATTTCTTGATCATGTATCCTTTCTTATATAGCGTGGTATTTTAAAAATAAATATTGATTCCTACAGTATCTATGATTTTTTGAGTGATATGATTACTATTAGATCCATTTGTATCTCCAAGGTACCTTCCTTTTGCCAATGGAAATCTTTCAAAGGAGCTTCATGTAATGGATGATTTAAAGATAGTGTGTTCGGATACTTTAAAAACACACAAAATACTATACAGTATTGTAGTAGAGTAATACAGGCTTTGAGTTTTAGGTTTGTAGTCAGACAGAATGTCAGAGTGAGAGCACAAAAGGGAACCAGTCACACAAGCAAAATAAAATCATCCGTCACTGAGACAGTCAGCTACAGTAGCATGAAGAGAATTTGAGCAATGGAAAACATTATGTTTCCCTGCCAAGACACATAAGCCTCCAGCAAGAAAAGCTCTGCCGTAATAATGAAGGCTAATCAACGTCTCTGAGCATGTTATACTTTCATCTCATCTGAAGGCTGTCATTGAGCTGTGGAGATTTCTATAAATGTCATATGGATAAGCCTGCCAGGAAATGTAAAACTGACTTTATATGAAGGGAATGGGGAAAGTTACAAGGATTTTGAAACTGATGGCTCAAGCAAATTTACCACATTTAATCTTGGCAGGGCCGGTTGTGATTTTGCCACCTAGAACTTGCACTTGGCAACAAAATCATAAAAAAAACCCTCCAAAGACACACACTCCCGTCAAAACAATAGGAAGTGACTTCACCGCGGGGCCTTTCAGCTAACGTAACCTCTACCTAATGTCAGACTGGACTAAACCAATCAGAGGGGCTCCTCTGGACCCTCTGCTGGATGCGGCAGGGATCATGGGTCGCTGATGGAGGGCAACATTAACTGTGTTGTGGGCACATCAGCAAATCAAGTAGTGCACGGTGTCAGAGGGGTGACCGGGGGGAAGGGCAGAACAAGGGATGGGCAGGATGTAGCTGGGAGATAGAGGTCTGAAAGGTGAACATTATTACCATATTGAAAAGGTCGAGTCAGCAGAATATTGGGGACAGGTATACAAGGACCTTTGAGAGCAAGGTGTTAGATTTGTCCACCATGTGCACTCCTGGTAAGCATGTAAAGCTGCTAAAAACCTTTTACACAGAGGCAGGGGAAATGCCTGTTGCAAATAATTCTTGACACTTAAAGGGGACCTATCATGCAAAAAGCACTTTGTGATGTCTTTTATACATAAATATGTGCCCCCGGTGCGTCGGGGAACTCACACAGCGTCAGAAAATAAAACCCTCTCTCTTTTCCTCCGTACCCAAATCTTTTAAAAACGGGTGTACAACGAGCGGATACAGGTTTCCATCCGAACTGACGTGTCCATCCGTGGTGACGTCGGCGGACCCACAGAAAATTGCTATCAGAAACAATGCCTGACGTGTTTTGGACGTAATCTCGTCTTTGTTTACATTAGCAAGCCTCGCTAACACTCAGAGCTAAACTGTACTGAAGAGCACATGTGTTTAAAAAGCAGGAAATTAAAAAAGGAACTCACCTTGTGATAAACCCGCAAGAGAAAAAGCATTTGAGCTCCATACTGTTTCAGAAATAATCATTGATGTGGTTTAAACAGGATGGCGTTTTATCACAGCAGAATATAACTTTATATCCGGTAGAATTCTGATCAGGCATTAGCTCCGCCTCCTCTTATTTATGTTTTTCAAGCTAAGGACCCAAAATCTGCGTTTCTCTAACAGGGCTTCAAAAGAGGGGTATGAGCAGTATGAGGCATGGCTACAATGGGTGATCTGTTATGTATTTTGAAAAACATGTTTTATATAGGTATGGCCCTACAATATATGTTTCCAATATAGCATAATAGGTTAACTTTAAGACAATGAATACTGAATTGTACACATCATTTTCTTAACTCTAGGACACTTTAGTAGGTGAAATCACATTTTAAATTACTTTTGCACCCAGCTGTCATGTCCTCTTGTGCTTTAGTTTATCGTGTTTGTGGCTAATTGTTTTTCTAGGAAAAGAAAGTGCGGTCCTTACTTGAGGGAGAGGGAGTAGTCGTTTTTGCTGGTCTCGCTGTTCCTCACCAGGTAGCTGGCCTCCTTACACAGCCTGAGCAGAGACTCTGCGTCTGTCCGGCTGATCGCTCCATGGTACCAGCTGCAGTGAACAATAGGAAATAGGGAAGAGAAATAAGAGGAACAAAGGAATGATGAGAGATGCTGAAGAGTGATCATAATCGTGTTCCTACCCTGGGTCTGAAACAGAGATACTGAATAATGCTGGCTTTAATAGCGGCTAAAGCAGTCAAGTGCAGGGGTATTGATGATAGATACCATCTGTACCCTATTAACGAAAATGCCAGTTTTCTTTTCAGTAATTGACCAGGATCAGGGTACTACTGTGATATGTTGTGATGAATGGCCGAAGTGCTTTTTGGAATAACCCAATCTGACTCACAACTGGCTCTCCAGGGGCATGGTGGGGTCGATGCGCTCCCCGAGAGAGGAACCGCAGTGGTCCAGTGAAGACAGCTTCGTGTTGACCAGACAGCTACTGGAGTGTCGCTGCAGCGGGCGGGTTTTCCCATCCTTGGTAGGCGACATTCGAGACTTCTCCACACTATCAAACTGGACTGTAATAAAAAGAAAATGAAACAGTTTAAATATTTGATTCTGGAAGAATACAATAAGACTCTTCACAACTCTGGTAATATAACAACATATTCTCTATGTATACTTCAGCTAGAGTTCAGGTTAGGGTCACTTGAAAAGAATATATATAAAAGTTATTCATTGCTGTTAAATGTACCTGCTGAACTAAAACAGAGCAATGTAACTCAACGAACTAAAGGACATGGACACACAGTGGAGGAGGCATACATCAATCCTTTCACACTGTGCACACATCCCAGTGAGACAACATACACACAAACTTCCTCCATACCATTCAAACAACCACAGGCATACGTAAACACACTACAGTCTATGTCAGCAATTTACACTCTTTAACTGCACACAAACATATGTGCAGTCATGCAAATAAGCCGAATTGGAAAGTCAAATGTACAAACACACACACACACACACACACACACACTTGCACAAATCCCACGCACAGGTACTGCTAGTTAAACATTAAACCTGCTTTCCAAAACTCTCACGGTCAACTGTGGACATGATAAGCTGTCTTGGCAGCTTCACAGGGAAGTGTTTGATGCCGAGCGGGGGCTGGGGGTGACCTGTGCTCAGGACATGACTGCTGGAGGTCACTGAGCAGCTTCACAGCCAATCAGGACACAGAAAAACATTTACCGTAATTTACAAAAGCTAACACAAGAAGAAAAAAAGGAGATAATGTCCACAAGGCCGAATGAAAGTGAATTCTCTTTTCTGTAAGAGGGTCATGGAGGCCAAAAGAATGAAACGTACTGTGGGATGGGGGAGGATGGAGTCACAGAGTGGTCATCTGTGTGTGTGTGTGTGTGTGTGTGTGTGTGTGTGTGTGTGTGTACATGTGTGTTTGAGCCATTTCCCTCCACAATCCATCACTATAATTGATGTCATAGCACTCTTCTCTTTGGGAAGGCCTATTACAGCCACTGTCAGCTTCTCAACAGCCACACTTATAGGGCAAGATATAGCTGGAGATCGTTGGCTACTTAAAGGTTTTAGATCTGAGGCTTCGAGGAAAGGAGTTCATGTTTTATGAAGGTCACAGCCACTGCCTCCGTCTTTCCAGCTCCTGCTAATGGCCGTTATTGCGTCTAGTGCTTAATTACCTGGGCTGAACACGGCAGGTACTGTCCTGACAGACGTGCACTGTGATCTTCACAACATGTCGATAAAGATGGGTCTGTCTAGACTTAGTATTCCAGTCAGCGCATTACATTACACTTTACAGTTTGTGAGCTTGCCAAGCGTTCCTGTATCAGACTGAGAGTAAAGGCTGACAGCATCAATCAATCAATTTGGGCTGGACGAGACAACAGCTTGTCGACAGATTTCATTGAGATTGTGGACACTCCTAAGTGGGGCCTAACAGGAAAACGAAGGACCTTTTGCAGATACTGTAAATGGTTAAACAGAGATAATAGAATTAAAAGCAAGTTACATGATGATGGAACTGGACGAATAATTTCATTAACTCCAACTGAGAAAGTAACCCTGTACTAGTACTGCATCTCCATATGAAGTACTCTATACTTGAACTCCATTACATTTGAGAGAGAAATATATAGAGTTTTTAACTCAAAATGTTTGAGTTGTGGCCTATGACGAAGGCTGTAGTACTTACAATAATTGTAGACATTATAAGGGTCTCCTTCTCCCAATATTTCCAAAAGAAAAGTAGAAAACAAGTTTGTCGGTCATAATTAATAATCTCACTACAATTCAGATATAGCGTGTGACCCTTTGGAAGGGGTGTCAGCCCTAAATTAGGAACCACATAATCTATTATAGTTCGCTTAAACTACGAGCTCCATGTCATCAAAAAACCATATGCTATTTGAAATCATAAAACAATGTAATGTACAACACTTCATAAGCCAGAGGGCCCATTTTAAGTATGATTTATTGTGATACTTTTTATAGTAGATCTTGCTGATAATACTGTACTTTTACTCATATTAACCTTGATGCAAGATGAGATGCAAGACATTTTGAATGGTGTTATTAAGTTAATGATCAGGTTACTTTTTTCTATGGAGTATGATTTAACAGAAGGTATGAACATTGTCACATTGCTGCTGTTTCAGCTCTGACCACCAGGGGGTCCCCTTCATCTCCTCTCAACTCCACGTTGAACTCGCTGGCCTTGAGCTCACTGATGCATTTCCCTAAACATCATCTCATGGAAGTGATTATTCCAAATGACACCGCCTACCATTGTTGTCTTGGCTTCTGCCCTTTTGTCCGTAATAGGTCTACGGCGAGTCTTGAAATGACAGCTAAATTGTACTGTTGCATGGCAGCTGGGGAAATTGTGGCTCTAACCTCAGACCTGGGGAAGACTATGATCTGTGTCTGCACTTCCTCTGGGTCGGATGCTCGGACTGTGGGCGGTCACATTACGATCCCGTGTTGCGAATAAGTCAACGTGAAAGAAACCATTAGTCCTCTACTTTTTCATAAAGTCCATTTAAACCACATGCTGGCTGTTGGGAATACAGTGCCAGTAGGATGCACATACAGTACATGTGTAAGAGTAAAAAATAGCGTTTCCATGGAAACTGACCAAGGAGACAAGGGAGATGCATGTTTGCTCTGCTCATCCCTGTCAACGCTGACAGATCACAACATGAAGACGCAGCGAATTGCTCTCTCTTTCCCTTCTTCGCTCTCAATTCCTCTTTCCTCTTTTTCCTCTCCTCACCGTTTCTTTTGATCTTTCCATCTCACTGACTACGGTCCTGTCCGTCTTTCTGTGTTTTTCTCTGTGTTTTTGTTCATCAAGGACGGGAAAAGATAGTGGGAAACGGACTGTGGAGGAATGTCTGGTCGTCTGATAGAAAGAAAGAAGGCAGAGCAGTAACAGCTTTGATCTGCTATCTCCACTGTGTCTGATGGACCTAATGCAGGGCTATCAGTCACTCTCTGATCCTGCAACAAACATTTCAAACTTTCCATATGTATATATCAAAATTGGTTAACATATTCACTTTGAACATGATTTTTTTCTTCAGGTCCAACACTGATCTTAACAAATGCTGGAAAAATGTATCTGCTAGTGTGGCATGAGGATGGATGTTGCTATCTTGGTTTTCCCACACAGTCCATCTCTCAGTGTATCTGTAGCCCACTCAGCCATCCGCCTGACCTCAGCTCTTCGCAATTTCAACATTCTCCCAGTGCCCCCACTAATTCTTCCCCTTCCCCTGATTCAACACAATCAGTGCTTTATTTGACCATGATTAAACCCTTTTTCCTTCACCTGCTAGAAAGGGTTGAGTGGCTTTTCTCAGAGGAGCTCACCCCATCAACCTTACCTGTCAGAGCGGAGTCTTTTCCACAGACAGAGTGCATCGTTCTACAAAAAAAGTATTAACCTTAAGGGAGGGAAAGCCTGCAAACTAAAGAATAGCTATCGGTATATGTGCTCAACAATTAATTAACCCATGTCTGCTTTGATTGTCAGCCATATTACCAACACTATAGTTTTAAATAGATGAAGAACTTTTTGTAAAGGCTGAATATCATGGGAGTGAGCCAAACTCATTCCCCTTTCATTCTCTGGAGCACAGTCTGAGACATGGCGGACAGCAGATTGACGAGAGAATTGGCCCTGAGGAGAACAAAACCCCTGAGCGGCAGATTGAGAGAGACGACACACACACACACGCCTTCACATACACACAAAGACGTGTACGTAAATGTGCAGGGGCATCTGTGTGTGTTATCGGTATTGTTGCTTGTAAAGCACAGCAAATGGAATCTGCGTATCAGATTGAACTGTCAGTCAGATGGTGACGGATGGCTGGAAGACCTGCCCCCTTTAAACACAAAGCTTCCTTTAGAAAGATCCATAAAACACAGCGGAGGTTTAGGAGGGAGAGTGTGTGTGTGTGTGTGAGAGGGAGCTGATTGGCTGGGACACAGATAAACACAGAGGTCAAAATGACATTTCCATGATTACACTGCAACCAATACACTACATGAAGGTCTGCAATGTTATTCAGCACAGCACAATACACAAGACGCAATAATGTCAGACAGAGAGACTGATAGAGGCCATAAAAACACCGTAAAAAACATCTTGAATAAAGAAAGACTATTAAACGTAATGGGGTTTTTGTTCATGAGTGTTCGGGCCACAATATTTAAAAAGATAAAGTAAGATAAACATTTAAAATGAATTTACAATAAAGAACATGAGGCTTCTGAACAGCCTGACTACACCTCTTTCTCATCTGCACACATCCCTGAGCAAATGTCTCTAATTAAGCTGGCTAATTAATTCTCATTTACTAATGGTACTCCTATCAAAAGGATGACTAGTCTGAAGGGTGAAATGTGCCACCGACCGCCGTATTGTGAGGTGAAAATTAGCTAGGACGTGTGAGATGATTATTGGTCTGCTTCTCATTAGAATACAGAGCTCAGCGTGGAACGATAGCCCGGGAACTGGCAGCTTTAAAAATCACTCACTTTTATGTTGATATTAATTATGTGCATCAGGAACTCAAATAATCATTTGTTGAAATTGATTTTAATAAGATATTTTTAGAGCCTCTTTGCAGCTGCCGGATCCAGTAAAGCTTTGATGATCGTGCCATCTAAGAATATGCTTTCTTCTTTTACATAAATCCCCAAAATTATCTGCTGATAAGGTTTCTCAAGAAAAATGCAATGACCCTGCAAAGTGACAGCTAGTTTTAAATTATATCGGGATACATTTTAATTGCTTTGTTTTTTTAAGTCCTCTCAGATTAGAGGAAGGAGAAGGTAGGAGCAATGCTTCAAAAGCGTGGGATAATTCATTCATGTCAAAAAACAAAAGCTCCTCATTATACTCAGAGAAAAGAGCCCTCCATTTATATGTAGATGTAATATCTGCCCTGTCGAGAAGCATTTACATTTTGATAATGAGGTTGGACGGCTAAGCCAGATTTCCCTGAACTATAATGGATATTGTTTTCTCCTGGTCTCTATTGGAGCACACCTCATACATACACATACATAACCTTAGCTATTTAACATGCCGAGCCAATCTGGAGAATGTTAGCAGCCTGGATGTCTCAGTGTGTGTGACTGAGGGTCTGCCTGTACAACGAGGTCAAGAGAGTGCATTGTAACTGTATTCACCGGGGTCACGGAGGCCGCCCCCCCTCCCCTGTCTGCCACACTGGCCTTTGACCCCCAAGATGTAGAGTGGGGCCATACTGGCTCAGACAGAGAGAGGATCACTTTACAGCTGGACGCCAATCTTAAACCCACTGACATCACAGAGGGAACCAGAACCTTTCCCATGGATTTATGGATATAAATCAACTTCTTGCCCTGTCCTCGCCTTTAGCACACAGCGGTGTCCTCTTACACGGTCTCACTGCAAGTCTTCCCGCTCTTCCAGGGGGAAATCCCATTCCTGGCATTTGTTCTGCTACACGTCCCTCTTTTCCCCGGGTAATTACAGCAGTCAAAAGTGTGCTTTCAGGAATCAACTGATGGCTCAATCGGTGTTGACAAAAAACACGATTACGTGCGTTTTGTTTGTTAAGATGGTAAATTACAGTAAACCTGAGGTAAAGAGACTCAAGTCAAGAAGTGTTATGGACTCTAATGAGTTTCATTTTTCACATCATGTAGAACTGTGGAGAACAGTGAACCAGGGGGACATCTGGGACAGTTATGAGTATGTTGACAAGAGGAAATGGGGGTCACAGCGAATGGCAATTACGCATGCAGAAGGCAGTTTAGTACAATTAAAACTAATGAGCCTTCAGCCCTAAAAACCTGCATGAGAATCAGTGATTTTCTGCCACATGTAATCCAGATGGAAGAGTGCAGTCATTACTGAGCTGCTACCTAAAGTCACATTGCGCAGTTCTTCTAGAAGACTGTCAGTAAGTACAGTAATAACGGACTATAGTGTCGGCACATTAGACGTGAGAGAATTATCCTAAAAACTGTTTTGATTGTACATTTTACATTTATATATTCAGTTTAATATGTAATATTCCATCCCTCACATACATATGCATAGATAATAACTTGCTTTATATTTTAGTTTTAGTTAATATTTAAATTCAACATGTATATTTTCTACTTTTTTGTTTATTTCTAGTCTTTTTAATTGTTATTGTACAATGCCATGTCTTTTATGCTGCCGCAACACAAACATTTCCCAAATTGGGATAAATAAAGTCCTATCTTATCTTAGATTCCCATCCATATCACCTATTAATGCAATCATAGTATTGGTGATATTCTCCGCAAGCCCAATATGATGTACTTTACCTATATCACCAGACTCACCCTCGCTAATGGAAACAAGCAAGCAAATCACCAACATGCATTTTTAAAGAATAGGCCTTCCGACACCCCCACCCCTCACAGAGCACTGACCTTATCACACAGTCTCTGCCATCCCCATGCCTCAACCTTCACCCCTCTGGTTGCATTTACACACTACAACTACTCTGCAATAAAACTCGCTTTGGCAGAAGATTTGACCACACAGTAACATGCTTGTGTTATGTTGTTGTGTTGTTGATGTATACACCTGTATCTGCCGGTTACATGTTTTGTGTTTTGAGAGTGTTCCGACTGTTAAAAAAACCCACTCTCTACAGAAGACGAACAAGAAATGCACAATAAAGAGTTCTTGTTCTTTTTGTTAAATTATCCTCTACTGTCTACTATCCTCTAAACACATTTGCTGATTTATCGTACACATGCACACTCTTCACCAGTCAAACCGTTCCTCAGATTTACAGATAGATATATAATGACATTAAAGGGATTGGATGGATGGATTGGCGGATGAAAAGGGTTGGGGGGGGTCGATGATGGGAAAGACGCTGGACAATGTGAACACCAACACCCACCATGGTGGTGCTGGTCACAGCTGGTCTGTCCTGGCGAGGGCTGAGCCGTCTGCGAGGGAGACTCCAGCCCCTCCACCAGGGGAGGGCTGGTGTTGAGCTGCCCGACGGGGGGGGGCCACGGTAGGTCCTTGATCACTTTAATCTCTACTGCAAGTGTCGCCCCAAGTCACCAGAGGAGAGATGGAGGGAAGGAGAGGACAGCAACAAGAGGCATAAATGGACAACCACAAAGGAAGTGAGGAAAGGGAAGTTATGGCAGGAAACAAGGAGGAAAAAGAGAAAAGGAGGAAGTGAAAAATAGATAGAGCATTGTAGTAGAGAGCTGGTAATCCAAGAATCAGCAGTAGATGTGGACTACAAAAGGAGAGGAACACAACAGGACTGGAAAAAGATTCAAGTTAGTGTACGAGTAAGTAGGGTTGGGTTTTGATAGCAGGTGCTTTTGTGGATTTCATTTTAGGCCGATTTCTAAAGGGCTACGGTGTAATGGTCAACTGGTATTTACAAAGGTTGAAACTTAACTCCTAGAAGGAATGTTAAAGGACTCAACAACCACATTTCAAAGCAGATTTAGATTATATACAGTGCTAATAAACCCCAACCCTACCTAAAGAGTTCCCCTTTCCAATGGCTCTCACTCGACAATCCAGACTGAGGATCTTAAGTCTCACCAGAGATACATTAGAAACATGGCATTGCACAGTTCTCAATTGCTACTGTTATAAGAAGTAATGCATGATGTGCTGTATGACAGACTTACATAAGAGGCAGCCCTCAAGAATACAATGCTGTACTTCAAAGTGCAGACTGTGATATATAGGACTGCCTTGAGCTCAGCTACAGATGGTCACTGATACAGTTCAGCATACACTCTGCTCTTACTCTTTGAAAGACCTAAGGCTTCTATATTAAGATAAACAACAATGTAGACAATATCCTTCACTGGAATTTACCTCACAGCAATCCATCCTGGCAGTGGACACTCCCCGGCTTTGCCCTTTAAATAATGCATGCCTCGTGTCCAGCCGGGGTATTACCAGGGTAAATTGAGCACCCTAGCAAAAGCATATCTATCACTGAACAAGCCACTTGTTAGTAGCTGAGCATACTTTATAAATAGGATGGAGATGGGAAGGCTTTTCGTCATCCTCTGAAAGTTAAGTGGCCTGTTTAATTATACCACTCTTTTTAACATACATCTTCATACACTCATCTTCCAGTGAGAAAAGTTGCAGTAATGTCACTGTCCATGGTGCTGGAGATGTTACTACAGTAGATCAAAGACAATAGTGTGATTTCGTCAAAACAGTTTCCACTGATGGTAGCCAATGCCTTTATAGTCTACACAAACAGTTGGAAGCTTACAAAACACTAAAAGTTTCCAACCAAGAAAAACAAAAACAAAAGAATAGAAACAAAACTACAACGGGGAAGGGACCAAAAAAGAAAAACTCACAATAATATACCAAGAAAATGTGGTTTCAACCCAGGATAACTCTTCAAGAAGTCATGGCCAAAAGCTCACATTACGCTTGTTAATGGAACAGATAACTATGGGATGACACTAGCAAAAAAGCCTTCAATGTTAGTCTACCCTCGTACCTGGCCGCCGCGTTGGACGAGGTCAAATTGACGGAGAGTAGCAACAGATTGTCAGTTAAGCCCCTGTCACACTGTCCCGAAATTGACACCCGATGGACACACGATAAAGGAAATGTTCAAATTCGGCTGTGATCGTAGCAACATCGGGCCATTCGTGAGGGCATCTAAGCCATCGTATGACCGCCGGTGGAGTTTCTCAGGCTCCGGCAGCAACTTCGTGAGCGACAACTTCGTAAGGCACTCGTGAGGGCATCTTGTAAAATCGTGTCATCTTCATGTTATCATCGGTGCCATCGGTGCATTCACCCTCACTCTGATCGGGGCGAATGCCCGATGGCACCGATGATAACAAGATGCCCTCACGATGGCCTTACGAAGGGCAAAATGTACACACGAAGTCAACACAAAAATGAACCTTCGCAAGGTCCTTCGGCAATTTTTTGGCATGCCAAAGATTTTGGCACCGCTCACGAAGTCGCTGCCGGAGCCTGAGAAACTCCACCAGCGGTCATACAAAGGCTTAAGATGCCCTCACGAATGGCCCGATGTTGCTACGATCACAGCCGAATTTGAACATTTCCTTTATCGTGTGTCCATCGGGTTGTTTTATTGCACAACAAAATCATGTAAACATATTATGTAAATAACCCAATTTGTGTTCTGTGAAACTAAAAAGGATATAATATATTATTTTGAAGGCGAGTTGACAGGAAGTTGTTGTTGCTATGGAAACAACATTAAGGAGAACACTTAATATATTCTACATATAAAGACGGAGAAAGTAAAGAACAAAGTCTGAAGATATCAGTACAGTATCATAGTACTGTAACATAATTGTTTGTGTTACTTTCGTTGCAGTTGTACGTCTTAAATGTAATGTAAATGTTGCCTTCGTGTGTGGTTCGGGGCCATCTTCGTGCGAAATTCACAATTCAATATTCGTGTGTCCATCGGGTGTACATTTCGGGACAGTGTGACAGAGGCTTTAAGCAAATCAGCAAGAACATATTAAATACAGGACACGTCAATACATTCTGGAATTCTATAATTTTTGTAGATTTGTTCAGCATTCATTGGTTAGAGAAACATAAATGTACATAATAAAAAATATAAAAACGTTGTGAGAAAAAACCACAAGACTGCTAATCAGTCAGTATTTTCCACTGAGTATCACTTAAATTACGTCGTCCTTGCTACTTCAGTTAATAGGAACATAATGCATCTGTATTCATAATAACCATTAGTGTGTCTCTGTGTTGTAATGTTTCGCATAGAGGCTAGTTTTCAGTGCGCAGAAGAGCATAATGTTAGAGACGTGTCTATCTTCAACCCTACAAGGAATTACAGCTGCAGTGCTACGGGACATGCTAATGAGAAGCAATATCAGCGGGCTAGATGAAGGGGAAACTGGAGAATATTCAATCCGACAAGCAATTAAATAGCTAGACCCGCGGTGTCAGGGGGATAATCTGAAGAAAGGTGTCTGGGAGGAGGAGCTGCTTGCGGTCTGAACTGATGGCAGAGATGGGAGAGTTGTGGCTGGAGGCTGGGAGACGGAGACAGAAGGTCAGAAACTTTAGCAGCTAATATAACTTCCACTACTTTGGGGTGAAGTAGGGGACTCTCTTCCTATGAGATTAAAAGCCTAATACTCATTTCACATTGCAGATTAGCGTGTAATTGTTTGGGGAGCAGAAGGCTGCCTCCACTCTGCAGACTCACTGTGAGACGATGTGGGCGAGTGTGGCTTGGATTCGCTCCGTGGCACAGCTGAATAATAGTATTTAGAAATGTGGAAATTAAGGCAGGCTGATTCAATATTCTGTTTTTTTTTTTTTAAAACTCTGGGTGACTGCATTCTCCCTCACTTTGTAACACCATTAAAACAATTCTGCCATCCCCTAAAGTCTGGAATAATCATTGGCTTTATATGCTTAGGTGCCTCATGGATGAGTGCTTTTTCACACCTGTAGCTATCTATCCGAATTCAGGACTTAGGTGACAACAGCAGATCAGTAAAGCTGATTCACACATCAATATACAAGCTATCATAATATCACAAAATGGTTTACAGCTGTTTTAATCATACAGATTTCGACTATATATCAGCTCTGTGGATCAGAACAGTATTGGGTTTAATGCGAAGTATGTTTCTACATGGAAGGAGGTTGCTTTGGTGTATAATGGTGCCAACATAGACAAAGCAAGAGAAATACAAATGTATAATAAGATCAAGTATAAAATAGTATTAAAATAACTGGAAATGACAGGGATGGGACTTAAGTCAAGTTGAACTGGATGTAAATATCAGTGGAAAAAGTTAATTCCACTCACGATGAATCTTGTGACCTTCTGTCTTTTAATTGGTTGGTAATCTTTTCATTGTAAAGAACTTTAAGCCAAACCTATGTAGCAAAATATAGCTGTACAAATATATGAATATTATATACAATTTAACCCAAATTATTTGAATTATTGGTAGCAGTGTTGGTGCTTCCTTTTAATGAAAAGACACAGAAATAAGGTTAAGCCAAATTAATGAGGACAATGCATATATATTAATAGATTTCTACAACTCTGTCCCATCTGACTGCATTTGGATCAATATGCCATCTCTCATCTGCAAAATCCTGGATCTATATTAGTACGCATCGCCTGCTGTTGACATAGGGAAATACTGTAGGCTGTTAACGATTCTCGAATTGGAACACAGTGTGTTGCTTTGGAAACGTGTGTTGTTGGCTGGATGTCACGTGGATTGGACACAGGTTGATCAGCAGCATGATGGGAGGGGGGGGGCATTCAGTCAGCTATAAACACACTGCAGCTGATTAATTATTTGTTTCACAGCATGTGTGTTGACTACAGTTCATCAACAGAACCAGAGAATACTTGAACAATGGTCCCTTTTTAATCTGTGTTTACCTTCCCTTTGTTCTTCCAGGAGAAGATCTATTTTCAGGCCAGGTATTTGTTTACCCAGGCTTTTCATTAGCCCATGGCACTTCATCACTGTAAAGTGCTGCACCATAAATCACCAGCTATGCTTGTTTCCACCAACGCCATTTAATTTAGTTCTGCTTAATTTGGTTGGCTAATTGCATGCATATTCAGAACAAGCTGGAAGAGTGCGATGTTTATGCGTCACATTATGAGCAAACAAAACCAGCCTCTTCTGAAGATGTGTTTGTTCCACCCAGCGACACCCAAATCATCACAGATAACAACTGTGTAATGCTCCGGGGGAACTGAAATGCCACCTCATAATTCTCTGCATACTGTATCCGTCACATTATACGGTCCTGCTCTCTTTCAAAGCACAGATCTGTTTTGAAAGACTGTGTGTTTGCATTAAAAATGAAAAGTGGCCTTTTCCTTGCTCTTCTATCTTGAGATTGACGGAGGAGATGCGTTAGTGACGGCCGGCCAGCAGGAGATTTCGGGAGGGTGGGGGACGGGCTCGCTGGAGGAGCATCCATACTTTGTGAGGGAAGTTCACAGTGTGGTTGTGTGTGGCCAATGTGTGTGAGTGAAGATAAGACGTGTGGCAGCGCTGGGTAAAAAGAACACAGCACACGCTCATGAAAGAGGTCTGTCAGGAAGGTTATCAGCAGGGTGTTGCTGCAGAGGCCAGGAGGACGACACAGGGCTGCGGAGTGACAGACAGCGCGGGGAAGCAGAGAGAAACCGAGCCATGGCACCCACAAAACAGCTGGCTTTAACCCAGGTGCAAAGCCAGCGCAGGACTGTAACTGAATCAATTATTTATTTTAGGACATTAGACTTAAGCCTCAGCTTTCTGGGTCGTTAAGCCCATGAAGATTCATTAAAAAAAACATAAAGCTCCCCAAGACCTGAGGGAGCGAGCCAGAGCGCTTTCTCTTATCTCCCGTGTTAAATGCAGGGTACCCGGCTGGCTGGGAGCCAAGGGAAAGGAGTTAGTAGCAGGTAACAGAGGGCAAGGAGATTAAGTGACAATGGCTCTCGATCCCAATCCTGCTGTGATGAGGCTCAGATTTCCGATGGCGGCCTGGCCATGTCTGGGTGTGTGAGTGAGCGAGCCATATGCAAAAAGGGCTCACTGACGGACATGCGAGCCCACATGCAGGCTTCGTCATGTGGTCAAATTCTAATGTGTCTTCCTCACTGCTCATCCATCACCCACTCAGCTACCATGAGGGAGGAGGAGAGACGCTGTGGCGAGTGTGGGTTCAGTGTGTTGGGTTGGGGGGACAGCGGGGATGAGTGATTAACCAAACCGCAAGTACAGAACCCCCCAACACCCTAACAAGGCAGGGAATTCAAATTCCATTGCATACCTGTCAGTAGATAGCCCGGCAGTGAATAATAACGTAAGTGTTGTGAAGAGGCGAGTGAGGCAGCGATAGAGACGAGCGAGGAAAAAGGCTGCATTAGTCTGCTCTCCTTCCTCCATCATTAATGAAGACAAATAGTATTTTACGCAGATGGTATTAGAGTGTGGTGGGAGGGCGTAGGCAGCTCTTATTTTATCCCCCACCCCCCTCTGAAACCACTCAATGGCTTGGTAAGGTTGTGCATCTTTTTTTATTATCAGCTAATACTTTGTTTGCTGACACTTTCATTCCCCACGTAATTGTTGAAATATAAACTGTGAACGTTTTTGATGAGCGCAGAATAGTGTCCCTAAAATCCAAACGGTGAGCAGTATCATTACTCATTGATATTACCCAGTCATAAAGCGCCCCAGCAACTACACACATAACCGAGGGGAAATTGCTCTCTAGAAACCTAACACAGGGAGCTTTGGTTTAGTTTAGTGACTTTCTGCCTACAGAAGTGCTTCAATCAGGCCTGAATTAGTTGCCTGAAAATATTTATATATACTAACTTAATTGCTGACATCTGGGGACACGGCAACATCACCATACTGGAGTACATAAGGTCCAATGAAACAATAAACAGTAATGCAGCGTCCACACGGCGGTGTGTGTTGAAGCTTGCCGGTGGGCGTGTCTGAAACTCGACCAACAACCAATCACATTAATCTCCCACCCCGGACCCACAAGCACGCGGTTTGATTGGTTAGAGCTTGTACTGGCACATGATTTGATTGGCTGACGTTCAAAAGTTGAACATTGCTCAACTTTTGAAGCGAGCAACGCGAGCAAAGCGAAGCTCCCACAATGCAGTTCGGCAAAGTGTGACGTCATCCCATTCAAAGTGAATGGGCAGAAGCGTTGAAGCTTCAACGCACGCCGCCGTGTGGACGGGCCGTAAGGGCAGTCAGATAACCACACAGGTTGTCAAGAAATCACAATGAACTGAAATAAAGGGTATACAAATGTAAAACGATACACTAATGCGTTATCATCCATCATAAATAGGTGGTTTATGTTATATGTTCACATCTTTTTTTAATTTAATTACGCTTTTGGTTTGTATCCTAAACTAAACTCACATTAAGCTTTTTTGGAAATAGTCTCAAAAGGGACTACTTTCCTAAAAAGGGCTCAAACACCTAAACAACTTCAGGAAATGTATCTCTGAAAAAGCCTAACCACTAAAGTCACTTGGCCTTAATTTGAGAGACCAAAAATATCTAGTAACAGATTCGTCAACAGAAAGCAACTCTTTATCAACCATAATCCAATCCCAACTTGGATGTCACAACTACTTGGGCAAACATGTCCAGACGCATCAAGCTGGAACTTAAAGTAAAGCCCATGACCTCATGAGTCATGACTGCAGTCTAACATTTCATAAACCCCAGATAACCCTGCTTTGAGTACAAATGCAAGACAATTCTATACTGCCCCTATGAGAAATGTGATACCAAAGACTTTCAAGTTTGTATGACATCAACTTCTAAATCAGAGTTGTGAAACAGCTGTTCAGCCAAGTTTGTTCTTAATGGTTTCTGGTTGTTATAGACAGGGACGGGTGAGAAGGGTTTGATTGGTAATCTGGGACTGTCAACATTGCTAAAGAACTGGCTCACAAGTGGACTTAAATGCTCAAGTAGTGTATCATTTCTTGACATTTGAAGGTAAGCTGGTTGCAAAGATCAGAGCCTCGGGTGCAGGCGCATATGCTCGAGCCTTGAAAGGTGGGAAACTTTCTCTAAGCCTCTTGATGTAGGCCGGTCTACAGTGACACCTGCAACAGAAACAAGCCCATGTTGACAAGGCTTGTCCCAAAGACGCCTTTCCCATCATTCTTCCTCTTTCTGTCTTCCAAATAGAGGGTAATTATATCTGCCAGAATGAAACGCAGAATGAAGACGTGCAATAAATCAAAAAAGGACTCGCGGCTTTCTTCTTAACCTAAAGACGTATCGTCCCCGATTCCCAGCCAACACTTTGACATCGAAAGGAAATTCAATTAATCATCATCAAAAGAGGGACGCTATCTGTAAAAGAGGGGGTTGAAAGAGGGATGTGTTAGTAAACAGCGCCCTACACAAACTCTTCTGAGTAAAAATAATGAGGGAGAAGAAGAAAGTGATTAAGAATGCAGCATCACTTATTTAGCTAATCATTGGCAGAGGCAGAACAGAGAGACTCATATGAAGACCTCAGTGCCAAGATATACACATGAAACACAAATAAGGGTGACAGAAACATTAGTAAAACATAGAACAATGGTAAAGAATAGACAGACATATGATGTGTGCATTCAGAGAGATAAAGCCTGCTCTGGTTCTTTCCATCTGAACATGTAAATGATAAGATTACCGAGTCTTCAAAAAGGGAAAAATCAAGTCATTTATTCTTGTCGGTTTTAAGTGGTGCTACTATCTTTACCTTAGGAGGTACAGTAGGTTGGTATAAAGCTCATCACTTGCAAGTATGCACTAAATACTCCCTTACGCCTCCTTTTTTGTCTACAATAAATGAGATTGATGAGCTTGCTACCGTGTAATGCCACATAAGAGACTTCACACACATTTAAACACATTACATCCTACAGTGAAGACCACCATAGCACCATATCTGCCTCTTTTCACATTAGCAGCTAGCAACTGAAAGTAACAACTAATAAAACATATACAAAGTGAGAATTACAATCATAAGCCAGCTCAACAAAAGCAACACAATTGCTATCAGAGGAGCCAAAAAATGAAAAGATCCCATTTTAAATGTTTGGATCTAAATCAAAAATGAAGCTAAGAGTTGAGATACAAAAATACTCATATTTAAATACATTCACAGTGGGGGGTGTTTTAGCGTCCTTGAGTTGGTTTTATAATTTAGTGACGCAAGGCTTTTGAACATTTCGCACAATATAATATAAATATTTTGGAGATATTACCCACCAATATTTATACAATGATAAATCCGACTACATCCAACTCACAATCAACACCTCAGGGGTTTAATCTCGCTCTCATCCTCTCTACTAAAACATGCTACTTTATTAAAGTGTCACAAATCGAATGCTGTGTCTACAGAAAACAGAAAGGGAAATTAAAAGAGACACACTATGGACAAAAACATGGAAATAACAAAACAATTGTAGTTAAAAAATAATAGAATGTCATCAAAAAACATAATGAAGAAAAATACCCATTATTCTCATATTGTGTCTTGCTCGGTGAGATTACATTTACACCTCGGAAAAGCGCAATTACTCTTCCAAAGATTAAAGAAAAAACTAATCACAAACTTGGCAACTTATTTCCCCAAACGCCTCAGCTTTAATTAAAAAGAAAGAGTTCATTGATGGATGATTTAGTCCTCCTGGTGAGTTGAGCACAAGTCAGGTTTGTGTGCAGAACATCCCAATAAAGTAAAAACAGTTTCAGTCTTTCTTTAACTTAAGTGTTTTCTGTCCACAATAGCCTTAAAGTTAGTGGGGTGAAAAGTTCAGCTACAGCACCAAGAAGTGTGACTACACTTATTGCACTTCACAGTGGAAGCATCCTGATAATGCCATTTTAATCAAGGCGATTTGCATTTGAAGTGGCTGACTTTTTGTTAACATAATGTGCTGGTAGATTTTAATTTGATCATTTCTGAAGTGTTTAGCAAAACTTTACAACAGCTTATTATCTGCAAAACATGCTTTTAACATCAATTCTGAAGGACTTTTTAGCCTGTGTGCTGAGGATTTCAGTACAAAATAAACCTGAAAAAGCACGATTCACCGCAATCCATAAAAGGTGCAGACATCAAAGTCTAAGATGAGTAAACAGACAGACAAGAGACACTCCCCAGCCCCGTCTCCAATGGTACCTGTGAGGGGTTTAGAGTTGCAGTCCTTTCCTCCGTGGGGACTTGATCCAGTGCCACTTACAGAACCCTCGTAGCTAATGCAGTCATAACAAAGCAGAGCTGTTCAAGGATAAAAAGACAAATATAAAGAGAGAAGGGGCGATGAAAAATCGAGTCATGGGTTGCTGATTTTCTGTTGTTATATCAGTTAAAAGGCTTTGCTTTTTTCATAATTTGGGGTGCACTATTTATATTCCAAAGCCGTTTTCTTTCCAGGAACAGCCCTGTTTGATGTTATGGCTGTGTTAGCCATGCTGAAGCTCTAAAACCACAGTGACTACCTGCACCTACATGCACCTGCACCATGCCCCCCTGAGCAGAATCATCTTAGCTTAAACAGGCAGCCATTGGATCAAAACAGCAAACAGAAGACTGGACACCTGCAAGAGGACTTAGCTGGTGCTTTGACAGAGGCAGAGAAAAAGAAGCGTTAGCAGGGAGTGTAAAAGCAGCAGCAGCAGAACCCTCACAACCTGACAGAAGCCAAAATTGAATTTGTTAGCGCTGGGAAAGCAGACACCTGGGTTAGTAAAGCAGAAAGTAAACTGTGTTAAAAGCTTGAAATTGAAAAAAGGCAACCCTTACAGAAATGCAGTCATCGCTAACATGAATCAGTTTACACGGTTATATTCACTGTCTAAGCTTCTGACAACAGTACTTATTGTATGTAAAAGGAAGAGCTGAAGGAGTTTGCAACTATTTAAACTATACATGTGTTTTGATTGGGATTTAAAAAGCTTGTTATCTGTATGTTTCAAGAACAAATTGCTCCTGTTATGTGTATGCATTATGAGCAAAGAGTGTGTGATTTTCTACGGTCATTTTGTTTTAGCTACTTCTCCTTAAGCCCAATTTCCCGCTGGAGAAATAAAGTATTTATATGATTTGGTTTCTTGTGTCATATATTATGTTCGTGGTTATTTTCGTACCTGCAAAAGCTTTGGAAATCCTCTCCTTCTTCCACTCCCAAGGCTGGTCGTACTCCTCGGGGGGTCGCTCGTCATCCTGGGGCAGCCGGCTCTCTCTGGGGCAGCGCACGTCCGGGTCAGAGTCCCCCCCGTTCTCCGCCGGCTCGTACGGCGTGTCGTACAGGGGCAGCTGCCGCACCGATCCTTCCTTATTTCCTCGCCCCCCAGATCGTATTTCTACAAACAAGGAGAAAGACTGGTCGTTAATGCTGGGTTTCTGTAATAAAACTTTATAGATGAAATGGCTCCAAGGGGCAGAACACCGTCAGCATGTGAGAAAGGAAGATTTATGACGGTAGATGCACTTACAGAACACTAAAGCAACACATTTTGAAAAGCCTGACTTGCACATTTCTTGTAGCATTTGATGAATGTTTGGTGATATTTCAACTGATTCGACAAAGGAGCCCTAATGCCCAGAGATCCAGATACTTGCATGCTCGCTGTTCTGTAACTAAATGAACAGCCAATGACAGTTGTCAGGCTAAAGTGCACTAATAGCATTGCGTATCTTAAAATGAGACAGCAGCTGTAATCCAAGCAAAAATGTCACTTATGTTATGGCTGGTAATGAACATTTCCAGGCATCGCAGAATAAACTGAAGAAGGTCAAAAGGGAGACACAACGTTTATAAACTATTAAATTGCAATTTTTTCGGCTAATTTATTTTGCTGAGGAAATTAAGTGTCCACTAAAATTGTCCAAAAATGGCCAAGTGTTGAGCTGCATCAATGAAAAGTGAACGTGGACTGGGAACATGGACTGGATGCCTCACAATCAAACTATAGCCTAAATAAATACAACAACAAATAGCAAGGGATTTCAAATCTTGACAATGACATGGGACTAAAAGGTCCAAAGTAAAAGGTACAAAGCCTTTCAGTAATATAAATGGATGTTGGGCATCTCTCACCCTCATTTTATTTCTCAAATCCCCAACCAGCAACTGAAAGACATATCTATTCTACATGTTGGTTGGATGTTCGAGTGGTAGAGAAGGGGCTTCTTACATGAAGTGAATGATGGTGACAGTTTGCTGTTGCTGAACTGGTGACAGAAGCGAAAGGCAGAAGTGAGTGTTGAAATAAAGGGGAGAAGACGGGGGGCCTGCAGGGCTGAGCACCTGCAAAAGCACATAATGTAACCCCCCCAAGTACAGGACAATCACACAACAGCCTGGCCCCGGGCGGCACGTGCCTGCTGAGTCAGAACAGAGATGAAGAGAAAGCGCTTTATGTTAACCTTGTTCCCACCCCAAAAATATGAACATCGTACTAAACATTCAAAGTCTCTAGCTGTTGAATATACATTCTCACCTGTCATGTTAGTAGTATTAATATGTTCAAGATATCAAATCAAGATAAACTAACTTATTTTACGATAGCATCAAAAAGTGTCCCAAATCACCAAGTTCCTCAGTGTTAATAATCTAGTTTGGGAACTATGATACATTATGAAACATTACAAGTGAACACTGAGTATCATTCATCTTGCTGTATCAACAATCTGCAGTTATACAATATGTATGTATTAATTTAGTGGGCAATACATACTGAATGAGTATATATTTTGCAGTTTGAACATAGGTATACTTAAGCCCTCAAGATGGACAATTTCCTCAAACCTTTACAAACCAAAGACGGAGGTTAGAGATCTCCTCTACTGTATTACTATCTAATATATTCAACTCAAAAGCTTGAAGTACAACCTCTCTGAAGCAGCTACTTAGCAGCGTGTGCCACTCATCCAAAGATGGACTGCAGGAGAGGACTCGCAGTGCCAGAACAGAAGTTATTAGACGAAAAAGCTACTTGTATCTTAAAGTGACGAGGACTTCACCAACCAAAGTCTACAAAAGGGAACGAGGGCATAATGACATTCACCTTGAGAAATCCTCACACCATGCTGAAAGGCTCCTCAGTACATGCACCTTGCAAATGTCCACATCTCTAGTTTGTGTATATTTGGACTTAATGTCACCTTTGTACTGTAAACATAATAAGAAATCCTGAATAAGAAAGACTGGCTTGAGGGATGCCTGGTCGCTGTATGAGATATTTAATGTCATACAGCAGCCAAGCTTATCTAGAACATTTTCAAAGAGGCTATGAAAATCATAATTCAGAGAACTTAAATCACATTAAAAGATGTTTGAAAATGTCAAACTGTTGCCTGCATATGATTTCCTACATATATAATACGGAACAATGGACTCACTAATGTGTAATATGTGAATGTATTAATGTTGTTGTATTCATGTTCTGCTGACTTAAACTAAGATGCATGCTTAGGAGTAGAAATAGACCTGATTCCTGATAAAGCACTGTGCCCTTGAAAACTTTCCTCGTCTTCATTTCCCTCCTCCCCTCTCCCCTTACTCATACAAAGTTGTTAGCAGTTTGCACCCATCCTCCTGGGCCACATGAAGCTGTTAGTGGCCAGCACCTCCATAGAGTAATGCAATGTGAAGCGAATGAAATATTATGCCACAGAACTGCATAATTGCCTCTTAGCCCAAGGGAGCTCTAGCGGGAAAATGAGCAATGCGTTGAGCCTAATGGAGCTACCCGCTGGTGGTGGTGGAGGCAGAGGGGTGGAGTGAAGTGGGGTTGCCAGGTTCCGTATCTCAGCGTAATCCCGCAACTCACACTCTCTGATCCAGCAGTTAAAAGAGTTGGTATTACGAGATTCTGGCATGATTAGGCGCTACCTCCCCCGCAGAATAACAAATAGCTCTGGAAGAGGCTGAATGAAGTGAAGGATTGCTGCCAGAAGATGTCAAATGATAGTGGGATGGGAGGAGGGCCTTACTGGTGGTGCTGGTGGGTAAACCTTTTGGGAAGAACCCTTTAATAGGAGGCATGTTGCCTTCGATAAAATGCTGCGGTGGGTTGAGACCCCATGCTAGCTCCTTGGAATGAGGCACGCGTGTGCAGATAGGAGCCTTGTCGACTTCTTAGCACCGTCTTTTTACATTTCTTTCATCCTCCCTTCCTTCCTTGTTTCCTTCCTCCTTTTCTCTGTCAGCTCCTGTTAAGGCCTGCTTGGTAAACTGGGCGGGGATACATCTGTCTAGGTAAATTACAGTGATTGGCATGACAGTGGGGTTGCATGTTGCAACACAGCTGCAGTCTATCTTCTGTGTTTGACCTCTACCCTCTGTTCAGGGTCAGAGGGCAGACACCACACCCTCCCCCTCCCCGGATGTCAGAGTTCCTGTCCAGATGCTGCACTTCCTCTCTAATACCATTTGCCAACCCCTTCATTCATACCCCCAAAAGCTGGAGGTATTTAATTGAATGTCCCAGTATTTTTACAAGGTGAAGAAAAGGAGATATTTCAAGACCATTTATGCAGCCAGAAAAGCTGTTGCTCCAAAGTGTATTTCAAGAAACAATTAAACATCCAGAAAGTGTGCCACACTCCACTAGGCTTCAACAGTCATGGCGCAGCAGCAGCAGCAGCAGCAGCACTGACCACAACCATCTGTTTAGTGCCACTAGAAAATATGTGTTTGTGGGGGAATAGTAGAGCATACTGCTGTAAAACCAAACATCTGCATTGGAGTTACAAACCGTTTTTCCCTAATGAGAAAAGACACGGATACTGGCTTTCATAAAGATTCAACTGTAAAGCAGCAGCGGGTTGAATATAAGCTCCCACGAAATCAGAAGCAGTGAGGAGAAGCTCTGAAAGTGACAGATCCAGTCTTTGTTATCATCTTTCTTTCTGGTTCATGAACTAGAGAGATGTATCCTATAGGAGAGAAAAGAAAATGTCCATGCATTGAATCCAGGGGGGTTACTGTCCCACTTACTACAAGATGTAAGATGAAGCCTTCTGGGCATATGATCATGGCAGAGCGGGGGTAGAAAGATAGCTCTGGATTAAATCAAAAACATTAACAGCAACCAACAAGGCAGCCGCATCCTGCTGCACATAAAGGACTGACCCATCCATTTGCCCTCAGCGTCCAGACCACTCCGATTCCTTCTCCATTATGGCCAACAAGTGATTGCATTTGAAAGAAAGTATCAAACAAAGTGTGCTTTTATTGCCTGGCTTAAGCTTCAAATATGTAAAGGGAAAACACATTTATCTGCCTCTGTGGTTGAATGCCACCCACTCCTACTGAGCCAGAGAGAAATTGCAGCTGCAAGCGCTTGCAGACACACAGGGAATATCTGGATTTGATTGAGGGGATCTTCTGTGCACTACTGAAGGATTAAATGCGATTGACTTTACACCCCAGGAAAACAATAGCCAGAAAATATCCAGGCCTCAAGGATTTGCTCTGCCTGTTCCTCCCCTGCTCAGTCACTCACACAATCTAAAGCTGTGTATTGTCACTTCAGAGAGCGCGGCTATCAACAAGTTGGATCTTCATCTGAAGATAATTTAAAAAAGGGAAAAGGGTCAAGGAGTATAGTGTACATTAAAGTGCAACTATCAATGTCTATAAACTTTAAAGTAAAGACTTAAGATAAATGCATTGGGATCTTTTTTTCTGATTCACACGGATTGAAATGTTCAAGAAAAAAATGACTTGAACCATAAATAGCAATATGATGATTTGGCAGTATTTTTGCATTATTAAAATGTCTTCTTAAATTTGTAGAATACGATTTGTAGACCGGGACCAATAAACTGTATTTTGTAATATTTCTTCCATTAACAAAATATAACAATATTACATTTTTACAATAATTGTTTAGCCCTATATTAAAAGCATTAATAACTGAACTCCTGCCTTGCCGCTGAGCTCCTCATTAATAGTGTTGTAGTAACCTTAGCTATGTGTGACTGTTTGAAGCTTGTTCCATGACAAAGCCACATGTTAAAGCAAGCTGCAGGGTTGATTAACAAAGCCGCTGCAGAGGCTCATATGCGGCAGTGAGACTTTTTTTATAGCTTTGATTCATTCTGTGTGATGGCCCAGGTCTGTGAAGAGTGAGCCGAGTCAAACTCAGTCAGTGGTTTGAGCCGTATCGGGGGGGCCACCCACAGGTATTGTGTGTCAGTCTGAGATTCTGGCTGACAAGTGAAGGTGTTTGCTCCTTGACCCGTGGCGGCCTGCCATTGAGTGGCTTTCTGCGTAGTGACTGGAGCCGAGAGGAGGCTTTCTGCGCACGCTATCCTCCACAGACCACTGGGAGAATAGTAACAATAAGCAAAG